GCAAATGTCATTTTTAAATATTTAAATTTCATTTTATAATTATTTATTTTGAAAACATTATTATGAAAAGATTTTTGAATTTTCCTAACTTAATACAAACAGTATTAAAAATGCAGCCCTTGGAATTAAGAAAAATGAGGTAGTGAAAAAATTGCTGATCTCAAGCTATTAGAGATTAGAATCTGGTCAGGTATAATATGCACAGTGAGAAATCTTAGCTAACTGACGTCAATTTAAAAAAATGATATCAATTAAATAGTAAAGTTTTTTTTAACTTTTGAATAACCTTGCTTGTTAATGACAATGATTTTTTTCACATAAAGAAAACGATGGTTCTAAATAAACTTAACTATTTTGTCCTGATTTTATTTCTTTTTTTTATATATAACTAGACTTAAACAGATCATTTTAATCCTTTTAATTATTAGGTGCATTCAATGCAATCTATCTAATTTAATTATTAGGTGCATTCAATGCAATCTATCTAATTTAATTATTAGGTGCATTCAATGCAATCTATCTAATTTGATTATTAGGTGCATTCAATGCAATCTATCTAATTTAATTAAGCTAAAATCCAAATTAAATAAAATATATTTTTATCACTTATTTTTTGGTAATTACTGAACATTGATTTAATATTGTTTTAAAACTTGACATGCATTTTTGTAATTACTGAATATTGGTGTAATACCATTTAAAACTTGGCTTTTGAATAACACATACGCTCTTTAATGGAATATTTATAAATTGTGGGCGCAATAAAAAGCGCTCACTAATTTAGTTACGAGAGTAAAAAATTGCGCTTGTCCTTAAAATTTGGGAGGGAGAAAACTAATAATGGTTTACTTGATTTTATATTAAATTAAAAAAAAAAGTTTTTGTTAAAGATTCTTGGTTAAATCAACAAGAAAGTTTGCTTATTGTTAAAAACAAAATGATCTCTATTCAAATATCTTTATTTGCGTTTTTTCAACCGAGGTAAAACGTTAAAGTTATTAAAAAACTCATTTGTTCATGTTAACTCATCATTCTGTTGAAATTAGAGCGCAAATTTCTACGAACAATAAATTATTGGTTTGTGAATGAGACCTCTTTATATAAAACGTTTACAGCAAACATTTAACGAAATCAAATAAAGTTTTATTAACTTATATAAGTTTATTAATAATATTAAATTGTGTAATAAATACAAATAAGAGTAAATTATAAGTTAATTTAATTTTGTAAAAGCATTTGCTAAAAACTATATGTATAATAATAAAAGTTTTTTATTTAATTTTGAAAAAAATATTTCTAAAAACGTTGTGTTTTGAACGGAATAGTTTGCTTATCATTAAAAAAACAAAATAATCACTATTCACATACTTTTAATTGTGTTTTGGCAGTCGAAGTAAAACATCTAAAAAAACTTGTTTTCTAAATATTAACCTACATCATTCGGTATATTAGAGCATTAGAAATGTTTTTGGACAAAATTTAACTAAATTTAAAAAGCTTTTGTTATTAAAATTATAGCTTATATTATTTATAACTTAATTAAAATTATAAATTTATTTGAGAAAAAGAAAATTTTAAGATAGTGAAAACGTTTGCTAAAAAAGTTGTAAAAGTTCTATTAGTGTTAGCAACAAAAAAACATTAAATATGTTTTAACGAAAAGAAATTGTTATTTCATTGTTTTAATGTTTTAATGATGCGAAAACATTATGCATTTATATTTTAATTAAACGAATGAAACAATGAAAAAAATGAAAGCTTATGAACTTCTTTCAAATAAATTCGATGTAATAATAAAAAAAAATTGACTGTAGTATTAAGTTAAAGATGAAGACAATTAAAAAAAAATACATAAAAGATAAATTTATTCTTTAAAACAAGATCATTAAGAAGTAGGCGGAAAAAAAAAACACAATCCGATGTGATCAAATAATAAATAAGTATTTATGAAATCAAAAGAATTTTAAACCCTTTGTCAGGCAGTGCCCTGCTTAATAATAATTTAAAAATATTTATCGTCTTAAGAACGCTGTATAAAAAATTAAAAATTAATAAAATTGTGTGAAACACCCAAAATATTTCCAAAAATAAAAGATCGCTCCTGATAACTTAATGGCGAGCGCGCATAATCACGCTCGCTAAAAAAATATTTGAGTTTTACAGGTGCGAAACATTGCACTGGACAATTTTCTTCATGCCACGGCCTGATTTTAGTATTTATTAAAGTATTTCTTCTAGTAATAAAAGTTTTTACCAAACACTTTCATATATTTGTTTTACAATAGTTTGCAAATTAACTAAAAAGTCAACATTTTAATTAATTAACTTTTTTTTCCCTTTACTTTAGAATGTATAACTCTTGATTTATTTTTTTAGCCTTTATTTGGTCAAAATTTGACAAATCTTTGCAAGAAAGATACACTCTAAAAATTATTAAGTTTTGTTGTTAACTTCATTTTACTTAAAAAGCCATTCTTACAGTTTTAATAGGACAATTTAAGATTGTGTAGCTAAAGATGTGACTTTTTTGGGGGGTTGTTTTTTTTAGGAAAAAAAAAAATTCTTTTGGGAAATATTTAAATATTTATCATTTAAGGAACTAAATTTAACTACTTTTATTTTATTTATTTCCAAACTTTTATTTTATTTATTTCCGAACTTTTCTTTATATTTTCAAACCTTTTTTTTTTATATTTACTCATATTTACTAATATATATATTTTTTTATATATTAATTTAAATTCATATTTTAATTTCAGATTTAAATTGGACAATTAATACTGAAATTTGCTAAAATTCTTTTTATTTTGGTATGTCAAAGGTTAACACGATTGAAGCAGTCCTGTATAAAAACTTCTTAGATAATTTCATCTTCCTCTATTTTATCTTAATTGGTTTTAGTGTTGTATATTGAAAAATAAACATTGTTTATTTACACTTATCATATTTAATTACATTTAGTATTTTATATATGTTTATAAATATTAGGCTGGGGTGAAAATAAGCAAAAGTGTGAATTTCATCACAATACTTTGTACTTCCCAGTCCATTTATGAAACCAGAGGCAGTTGTAAAAAAATAAAAATGTTTTACAGGAAGTGACCCTTTTTTACCCTTTATACATCAGAAAGGTACCTAATGTTATAGAAAAAAATCTTCAAAAGTATGTCATGTTGGGTCTCAAAAGAAGTGAAATTTTATAAAAATAATTATTATTTCATATTAAGATAATTAATTTTTATTGCACTGCGTAAAATGTAAACGTTAATTAAAAAATCAATTTTTTTCACAGTTTTTTCAAGTCAATTTTTTTTTTTTCATAAAATGTTTATTATTTTTGAAATTTTTATAAAATTTCTGTTCTTTTAAAAGCCAGCATAGCATACTTTAAAAAAAATTGGGCCTCCTTCTGAAGTTCTCCTAGATAATTTTAAGTCATTTAGATCTTAGATTATGCAAACTATGCGAAATAAGACTTATCTATCAAGCTGTTGAAAAACCAATGGGAAATGGAATTGTTGAAATAAGTTTATCGTATGGTAAAAAGAACAAATGCGAGAGTAGAATGTGGTATACCCGTGTCTGTATTCTTAATCAATAACAATCCATCAAAACATCTTTTAAAATCTTTTGCCAACAATACAAATTCAAATCAACACAAAAGTCTTTGACTGAGTTTCGAGAATGGAAAGTTGGCAATAAAGTGTGTGTGAAACTCAACCATACGAGGCTGTGTACACAGCTGATGGTGATTATGATTTGACATTGTTTAAATCTCTCGAAACAAACTTAAAACACGTCATCAATGAAGATCCAAATTTTTAAATAAATTCTCTGGATGATGTCAAAGCTGATGAAAGTATGGACAATGCTAATCAAAATTATCAAATAGATAATGAGATAGTTACAACCTGTTCAATTCATTTGCTATGGAAGAAGAGTACTTCCTAACTGGAATCACAGTTATGTATGAGCTCTTGTTGAGCTAGGAGAAATGTTGTGATTTCAAAATTTAGTGAAAATTGGCCTTAAAAATTTGAAAATAATTTTCAGTCACCCATAAAAACAAAAACTTTCAGTGTAAACAGGTTTTACAAATTGTCGACCTATTAAATCTTGATTTGCTAAAAATGAACTTTTAATTTATTTCTCAACAAAGCTTTGGTTTTAATTATAGGATTTAATATGTTGAATATAAGTTTTATACTTTGCAAAGTATAAAACATATATCAGCATATTAAATCCTATTGAAATTATGATATAACAGTCTAACCCCACCCTAACAGCTGTTAGAAAATGCGCTTTTGATCGCAAGTCAAATGCGCATTTGACTTGAACATGCATAATTTGCATGTCGAATAAACAAGGGGGCATTGAACATGCCCCCCCCCCCCTTTATTAAATTTAAGAAAAAATCTCCACCCCCACCCCCTGTTTATTACCCCCCACCCCCTCCCTAGTTTAATAGATTTTGACTAAAATTCCCACCCCCTATTGTATTCAGCACTTGAAAGTATATAAAAATTTCAAAAATAATAACCATTTTATTAAAAAATTATCATTTTAGAGTTTATTGCAGATAAATATATAATATATGAATAAATAAATTATGAATCATCAGGTCTTATCTAATCTTCGTAATCTGTGGTCTTCAATGCTTTTGCATAAAAGATTTTCAGATTTAATAACTTATATATTTTTTACAGTAGCTCTTTGTTTTATTACTGCCCATGCATTTATAATATCTTATAGAGCTTAAATACATGTTTACCAAATTGATGCTTTTTTTTTTTGTTGCTAAAATATTAACATTTTGTTTTTTAGTTACGAACAACACTACTTAGCACCTTAGACGACTAATTTGATTACAATTTAAAACTAATAAAACATTTAGTTAATAATAAATTTATTAACAAAGTATAACATAGTTATTTTTTTAATATTTTTTATGATGAGGCTTTCTAGAGTTAATTGTTGTTGAAATTTATTGGATATTTTAGAGATATCAATCGATATTGGATAAAACAGTACCTTATTTGATAGCTAGATGGTTATTTACGTGTTTTCTGGTTGTATTTTACTGCGTTCGCGTTTATTTTTTGCAGGTATTCAAGATATTGTACACTTTTTGATATGTTTTTTTATATTTTTGTTGCTAGTCTGGTGTGATTCTTCTTTAACATTTAACATTTAACTTTTATATTATTTTTTTATTTAGGGTTGGTATATTGTTAGTTATGCTCTAGGAATTTATTTACTTAACTTATTTATTGGTTTTCTTTCACCGCGTATTGATCCATCAAGGGAAAGAGGTAATTTATTTTATTACCAAATAGTTTTTATCAATAGTTATTATTATGGAAATTCTAGTTAACTTGTAAAATAAAAAATTATTTTTTTTTTTACTAAAAGCTAATAAAGCTAATATAACCACTAATAAAGTTAGAACTGAAAACAAAAAAGCTGTAAGCAACCATTAATAAAGTTGGAACTGAAAACAAAATATTTCAGAATGCAAGTAATAATTAGCAGTAAACAGCTGAGTCTAGCTTGAACTTAGCTTAAACTTCAGATCCAATGCAAGCCATAAACTGTTACAGAAGAGAAATCACATTCTAGTTTGACTTTCTGTTTTACATGATTTAAAAGTGATGACTTTTTGTCAAGACTAGAGTATATATTTGTGTCTTCAGCAAATAGAGCTACTTTAGTACTAATTAGTTCCTCATATGTATTATTGATCAGGAAGATCAATAATACATATGAGGAACAACACAAGGCCAAGGATGGAATCTTGTGGTACTCCAGAAGTTACTGGAAATAAAGGAGAGTGTTGTCCATCAAGAACAGTTTTAATACTGCAATTAGAAAGGAGTAATTTTTAAAATTAAAATGAGTGATTATTTTTAAAAATATCCAGAAAATCATGAAGTGAGCTTATGGTGGAGACTATTTTGTCAGACTATAGTGAATCTTCTTGTCAAAGCTTTGTTGGAAGAGCAATACCCCTTACCCCACTGCGCCCATTCTAATGCACAATAGAACTTTTCTGTTATAATAGTTAACAATAAAACTTTTCTGTTATAATCAATGATATATTATATAAACTAAATCTAATTGTGGGATTTTATTGGACAAAAAATGATGCTGCTTTTTTTTATTATAAATATAGTTTGCCATTTGTAAAAAGGGCAAAAGCGGAAGCCCATGTGAAGAATAAAAGTTAAGAATGCAAGTCAAAAGTTCCCAATAAATTAAAGATAATTTCAAAAACACATTTTAATAATTATAAAATACTTATAAAAGTTTTTTTATGAGTCTATGTTTATTAAAAAGTATTATAGTTCATAAAAATGCTTTGAAAGCGGCCGTTGTTTTACTTTTCTATTCAAAACTTTAATTCCTTTCTAATCAAAAATAAATTTAGGAATCATAAATTATTATTCTACGGGTATTTTAATTTCCTCTTAACACTTTTACATAAATAGTATTTATATTTAAAATACGCTTACTTTATTTAAGAAAAAAAGTTTAAATATTTGTTTACAAATTTAATCCACCATTTGTAAATAGGGCAAAAGCAGTTTCACTATTCAGATTGAAGTTAGACATCTAGTTTATATTATATATCATTGGTTATATCTGTCAACAACATAACTTTTCTGTTATAGCAGTTAACAATTGAACTTTTCTGTTATAGCAGTTAACAATTGAGCTTTTCTGTTATAACAGTTAACAATAGAGTTTGTCTGTTATAACAGTTAAAAATAAACTTTTCTATTATAACAGTTAACAACAGAACTTTTCTGTTATAATAGTTAACAACAGAACTTTTCTGTTATAATTAGTTACCAAGTCAGCTGTAGAACAAGAGAATTGAAATCCATATTCATTATCTAAGAGTATTTTATTAGACTCAAGATTTGAAAAGTTTTAATAAAGATTCAAAGATTTTGATAATGACATTTTTATTATTTTATTTTTGTTCTCTAGAGAGTTGTTCTTGAGGAAAATAAATGATCATGATTAGAAATAGGAGCTGTACAAGAAGGTGGTTAAATGGTGGCTACCATGAATGAGGCTTGACTTGAAATCAACCAGAAGAGTTAATATTTTCCATGTCTGCTTTAATTTAGGTGATTATATAAAGGCATAATTTTTAGAAGAGAAACAATAGACATAAACCCAAGGATCATCACGAACAAAATCATGAAAAGAATCCCAGTTTGTATTAAGGTATGAGTATGAAGTGAAACAGTGAATTTGAAGAAGTATGAAATGAAAGTTTCATGAGATTGAGTATAAAACTCATAGAGAACAATGAGAATCATTTGAACAATGGTTAGGATAGGGTATATTAATAAGGGAGAATATGGAGAGACTGAACACAACCTTTGGGTCAGAAAGAAGACACAAGTCAAAGGGTTTTCTGGAAAATAAAATAAAGAGTTAAATAAGTAAGAGGTTAAGAAATCAAAAATTTAAGTTTAAGACCCAGCAGGGTAAGGTGCACTCATGCTAAGCTTTTCAGTGTGATGATTATAAAAGTCACCAATAATAAAAGTATTGTTAATTAAAAATTGTTTGGTCAATTTAATCAAAAATTTTGAAATAAGCGTAGTTTTTTGAAATAAGTGAAAATTATGAAATAAGTGTAGTCTTGGGAAAAAGAAGAGTGATAAATAATAAAAACATAGATGATTAAGTGAAGTGGTGCCAAACAAAAGCGCATAAAATAATAGTTAGAAAATTCAAACATAATTTTACAAGTGTAGGGGAATAGATATGTAAGTATATGCCCAGGTGACTATTAATGTTTTGGGGAATCAATGGATAACACCCATTAACGCTAAGATCTGAAGATGATACAGATAAATTTATGTTAAATGAGTTTATGTTAGTCTCACTAAGAGTAAGCAGGTCCGGTGAATTTTATAAAGACTAAGTAGATAAAATTATGCTTCGAAGACTACAATTATTTGTGAAGGGCAGATTTGAAACTAATAAGTGGCGATGATGGTTTTTGTTATTATAATATGTTTAGGTACTTTATTTATGTTTTTAAATAATAGAGAACTTGATTTAATCATAGATAGAGTATGACACTCTAAACAATAAGCTACACATTACTGCTACACACAATAAGCTACACATTACTGCTACACACAATAAGCTTCACATTACTGCTAATCACAATAAGCTACACATTACTGCTAATCACAATAAGTTACACATTACTGCTAATCAACCCAAAGTTGTTTTAAAAAGTTTTTTATTTTTTTGAATGGGCACTTTCATGTACAACGTGGCACTGTTATTACTCTAATATTTTATAGTTGTTTATGGAGTTAGCCTTTCAGAGATTTTTGCTGTATCTGGCTAATATACAGTACTGCCAAATGCAATTAATATCTGCCTAATTTCATTTCATACATCTCAGATTTTGTTGATTTTTATACAGTTGAGAGTGCTTAGTTAAAAAGAATTCCTTGAAAATTTTAGCCTCTGGCTCCAAGAAGATCCTGAAATATGATCGTTTTACTTTTAGCATATATTGACCAGGCCCCTCTTGTCCCCTCAGCAATGCAACATTAATTTGGAAGTTTTAAGTCACATTGCTTTAAAAATATTTGATTTTTTTACTTAAAAGTTTGTAATTAGCTATTTTTGGGGGTGACAAACCAATGAAATGATCAGAAGTGTAAAAAATTATATTAAGTACCTTAAATTATCAATTTAAATAAATTAGATGATATCAAAAAAAATTTTTACCCATTCTATATTTATTGATCTTTCAAAAGATATAAAGATTTTGATCTGCAAGTATATGGATTTCCATATATGGATAACAGGGCACAGTCCTAACTTTTTTGTAATGGTGCCCCACTTTTTTGTAGTGGAATCTTGTGATATATTTTTCATTACTTTTCAGACAAACTGAAACTCTGAAACTCACAGCATTAGTGTAGTCTTGATAAATGCATGTTAAAATTGTTTCCAGAGCAAATGACCAGAGGCTCCATGGCCCAAGGTACTAAGGTCATGTCTGACTTATTTTCTCAATAAAAATTTATTTTGCATTTTCAATAATGTAAAGATAACCTTAAAAATATTGTCTTCGAAGTATTTTTTGGTTTGTACTTGTTCCATTTTAATTATTTACAAAGTAAAAAACAAAAATATAAAGTGTCAAGATTGTGTTAAAATTCGCTTAGATGCATCAACAGTAAAAGTATACATACGTCCAGTTTCCTGTTATAAATGCATCAATGGTACAAATTATGTTAGTAATTGGAATCCACTACTTATCTGCTCTAGATGACCAGAAAAGTTTGTTAAAAGAACTGTGCGGGGGCATAAATGATACTATAACATCTTACTCAATATTGTCAACTCCATTTATCATACCAATGCAATAAAACGTATCATATTTACACAGGATAAATTCAACAAATATCAATGTATTGATGTTAATTTGCTGAATAGGTTGAATACTTTAAATACCAGAAAAAAAAGAAAACCATGTTATATTAAAATCTTCACTTGTTTTTTTAAAGCTAACAGTATCTATAGATTCTGGGTTAAATTGATGATAGCCCCTAGTTCCAGGAATTGTTCTACTTGGCTGAAGCTAACAGTATCTATAGATTCTGGGTTAAATTGATAATAGCCCCTAGTTCCAGGAATTGTTCTACTTGGCTGAAGACATTTTATCAAAGTAGTGTGCAATTCTATCAGTCTTTCTTTTTCAATCTCGAAAAAAATAATCTCTTCAATTCAATATATGGTCATTTACAGGTATTTTTGTAGACTTGTATTTGCAGTTAATCGTTTTACAGTACCACCAATACCAATACCACCAATACCATGACTTGTACCAAAAAATGTCCACTCTGTATCAATGTCAAAATTATCTTTATGGAATTAGATATTGTAAAGGTTTTTGTGGTTTTGTGCAGCACAACCATCTAAAAAATAACGAATCTTTAAAATGTTATGATGATTTTCTTTTAAATAATTAACTATTTGTCTGAACTTCAAACACAAAACTAATGTTATGCTCATTATCTTTTGACATTAAACATTTTTTCTTTAAGCTAGTCATTTTTATTTAATAAATAGAGGGCATCGGAGTGTAACTTGCATTGACTTTGGTACCAATGCTAACTTTGGATTTCATCATGAATCACAAATGTGTAGTTTTCAACAAATTTACTTAAGACAGTGCAGTAGTCTTTTGCCAACTTTTCTTTTTGTTGTCTTAGGTATCTTGCTTGGCATTTAGGAATGAGCTGTTAATTTGTTTATTGCCTCTGATAACATCAATTTGTATTCTTCAAATGTTGTTCTCTGACAGATAAATGTTGTTCTGTCTGTTTTCTTTTTATTTCAAAAAGTTTTAAACTATACAATGTAAAATTCAGTTAAAATCATTATTTTATATGGATGAAAAGTTTTTAATCCATATACTTGCAAATCAAAAATCTTATAGACATGTACTTTCTTGAAACATTTTAAGACAAATTTTTTAAAAACAATATTTTCAAAGTTATCTTTACATTATTGAAAATAATTTTTTTTTTTTTTTTTTGAGAAAAGTGTCTACCCCAGTTCTTCGGCCATTTGGTCATCTGCCTTGAAAACAATTTTAACACGCATTCACAGGACTACATGAGTGCTGAAATTTTCAGAGCCCCAGTTTGTCTAGAAAGTTGTGAAAAATTTACACAAGATCCTACTACAAAAAAGTGGGGCCCATGATCCAGCCCCATCCCCCTGGTTTCTTGGACCTTAAAACAACCTTAACATGCAGGTTCATCAGCACTACAGAAATTCCAAAAGTTTCAGAGTCCCAGCTAGTCTGGAATGTAGTGAAAAATCAATTGCAATACTCCGTTACAAAAAAGTTGGGACCCTTATCCATATATGGAAATCCATATCAATGAATTTAGAGAGATATGTAATATATATTTTGATATCATTAAGGCCACATGGGTTTCTTGAGCATCAAAATTAGGTGCATAAAAAATTGCCTAAATTTATTTAAATTGATTTTTACAGGTACTTAAAAATAATTTTTTACCTTTCTGATCATTTCATTGGATTCGCCCCCTTTGAAAATAGCCAGGTACAAATTTTTAAATAAAAAGATTAAATATTTTTAAAGTTATGTAAATAAGCCTGCAATTCTGAAGGGACAAGAGGAGCTTGGCCAATATTTGTTAAAAGTAAAATGGTCATATTTCTGGATCTTCTTGAAGTCAGAGGCTAATATTTTCGAGGAATTCTTATTTTAATAAGTAACTCTCAACTGTGTAAAAATCAGCAAAATCTGAGATGAAGGGTGACATTTTAGAAATTTCCGGGTCATTTGACATGGAATTACCCACTAGCAAGATTATTATGATGGTCTTAATCCTGGTCTTTTTTTCTGAAAGTGTTTGAGGTCGGCAAAAGTATGATCTGACTTTGCTGTAAAATATTGCTGTATAACATATTATCGTTTCTTGACATGACAATTTATAGCTGTTCAAAGGTAATCATAACTCAATATTAGGCTGAAAAATACTTTCTCACTTTATAAGTATATATGTGTGTGCTGGTGTTTCTAGCGGCCCTATCAACCTTGGGGAGGTAGTTAATATTAAAAAAAAAGTATTTTGTGTATTTTAACCAACGGATTTTCATTAAAATTAGTTAAATATATTAAATATTTATTAATTATTTAATCAATCAAAACATTGTATTTTATACGAGATTAAAAACAACGTTTTTGTTTGTATCCAAATATTTTATGAAATATATCGCTATGAGTGGAGTAGTTGTACCTTGGTTATAAAAGAAAAGTATAAAAAAAAAAAAGAAAGTTTATTAGTTCATTGCAGAACAGAGTATTTATGTCAGATCAAATGTATTCTAAAGATCTGAACAGGGTATATATATATATATATATATATATATATAATATATATATATATATATATATATATATATATATATATATATATATATATATATATATATATATATATATATATATATATAAAATTAAAAATAATTTTAAAAAATTTCATAAAATAAGAATACGGTTTAATTTTAATTTTTCACTTAAATTTGTAATAAGAAATGGAAAATTATGGCATTGTATTTACAATATAATTAATTTAAACACGTCTAAAATAATACGACATGTAACAAAATTCAAAATTTTATGTCCTAATTACTTAAGAAATCTTTATAAGCCCTTAACAGCTCTCCTCCTCTGCCAGTGATTATAAATACTTTTGCTCTTTTGAAGAATTCAACATCTACTTTAGATATTTGAAATTGAAAAATAGAATCATTTTTTTTTATTTTAGATTTGTTTTATGATGAAGACGATAGTCCTGGATTACCTACACAAAACGATGAAGAATTTAGACCATTTATCAGAAAACTACCTGAATTTAAGTTTTGGTAATTGTGTCTGCTTTTTTTTAATTTTCATATTTGTTTATTTTTAAACAATTATAATTTATAAATCATCCTGGTATATACCTGAATAATAACCTAAATATAACCTGAATATATACCTGAATACCTGATAACAACAAAAAATTTGTTATCAGGTATTCAGGATGTAAGTCAATCATAGTAGGCACAATTTGTACATGCTTTGAAATGTTTAACATACCTGTGTTTTGGCCGATATTGGTAGTTTACTTCTGTTTGCTTTTTGTGATGACCATGAAACGCCAAATTAAAGTAAGTTAAATATTTAATTTATTTAATCAATATTTGAAGTATGATCAATTATTAAGTTTTTAATGTTAAATTGTCATAATGAAATCAACTATTTAAAAAAGTCTTTTATTAGGGTTGGGTGGAGTGAAAAGTGCCATGTATCGAATTACTTACAACCCATAAGTTTACAACTATTTGGGTCATTTATAAATAAAAACATTGCGACATGCAAGTTCAGTCGGCGTATGACTATTGATGCGGCTGTGCGTGTAATTTTTTTTTTTTTTTTTTTTGCGTTAAATTTTTTTCGTTCAAATTCTTTTTTGGTTCGTGAACATACAAAATTTAGATTGATCGTTAAAGTATTTCTTTACTAGTTTTTATTTTTAAATGATAATTGCTAAAACATTATTTGTTTGTATTTAATAACAAATATGATATGCAGGGTTCCCACTAGTCCTTAAAAATCTTAAATATCCTTAAAAAAATTATATTTTTAAAAAGTTTTTATTTTATGATAATCGTTTTCTCAATTCTTCTTATTTTTTCTTTCAAAAAATTGTCGTTCGCGACCCAATCTTCTTAAATATTAGGAAAATATCTCCTTAAATCTCCTTAAAATTTTCACTTTTAGCCTCAGTTTTAATTGTGGAAACCCTGATATGTTTTTATCAATAGACAAGGTGTACCACACCATTTGTTATGTCTATAAAATTACATTTTTATTCAAATCTAAGAAAATTATTTTATTTTATCAAAATGCCACGTACCTACGAAAGAAATTCACGTCGAGGGATTACAACGGTAGATACAATGGAACGAGCTGCAGATCTGGTAATAGAATAAAAAAAATCAATAAGATCAATTGCCAAAGAATTAAAAGTCGTATGGCATTAAAAAGATTCATTACTCGTATTACTAATGATCCAGATATTGTCAAATTTGTATATGCAAGTCCCTAAATTTTTAATAAAGATCAAGAAGCTATGCTAGTTAAATATAGGGATTATCTTTTTCCGGTTATTTTTCTCAATTTTTAGTTTTTCCAGATATTTAAAACGTTTTCCATACATTCAAGTTTAAGTATATATTTTTGTAATATATTTCTTTTTTGATTTTTTCCACTCAGCATAGTTTAAAAAAAAAAAAAAAAAAAAAAAGTTAAAAACAACTCAGCTAAAAGAAAATTTAGGAGGAAAATATATTTCGGATTTTTTCCGGATTCTTTACCAACGCAATTTTCCGGATTTTAAAAATATGGTCTGGATCACTTTTACTAGATTCGTTTTTTATTTATTTAATATAAGTATTTAACTTAATTTGAAAAATTGCACTTTTCTTCCCACCTTCCCCTATTTATTTTTTATTTATTTTAAAAATTGTTTTTATTATTTTTATTATTTTGTGTTTAAAAAACATGCAAATGTAGGCTTTTAAAATATTCAAAAAATATTTTTAGCATATGATTAAATATCGATATTTACCTTTCACTCACGGCAAACGAAAGTATAAAGGAAAAGAAAATGACACAATTGGAAAGTGAGCATTTGGTACGGAACCTGAAGCTGTCTGGCTTCGTTTAAATATAAAATCTCCTCGAAACAACACAGTTTTCTTGGTGATAAACTCGCGCATGTTGCCTAATATTACACGAATTATAATTGTAATTAAGGCTAGGTTTATTCAATGGGCCGGGTTTTTTTTAAATTAATTTTTCAAAAGCTTTGTAAATAAAATTTCTCTTTTTTTAAAATCTACGATAAATTTAATTAGCGCTATTTTCTGTTATGTTATAGAATTTCGTATAAACTTGATTTGATTATGGTGTGACAGCAAAGTTAATTATTGTACAAAAAAAATAATTAATTTACATTTATTTACAAAATATGTTGTTTTTAAATATTGCATGACGTCGTTAAATTTAAAAATAATTTTGCTAATTGTTGTTTCAATTTTAAGAAATCCTCATATATAACTATTTTCACCTCAAATCGTTAACATTTATTTCTATTTCAGGTCCATCTTTCGTTCTACTGATTTTTTCTCTTCGACTCTTAGAGCGCTTAAGTTCTGAGTGAGAAGAGCGACGTTTTTCTCTGCCAACTCGGTTGTAACTATTTTCATTTATATCGTCTTTGCTGTGTATGTTTTCATAAGTTGAACCTCGTTCTTTGGATCGAGATCTTTTAATTTTTTCATCCGGATAACTTGAGCTAAATGCGTGGGGTCGTTCGGATTCTCTTTTATCAGCACTTCGTCTTCTACGATGAGATTCTCTTGAATGTTTAAATGAATTCTTTAAATTTGACTGCTTTGGAGAAAAGCTATTTGAGTCTAAACTCAATTCCATGTTTCGCTGCATTGTTTTCTGATCGCTTAAAGGTTTATCATCGTGTTTATCCTTATCTTCTTTAGTCTTTGGACTTGAGTGGCCTTTTGGAGGCATGGAAGCTGGTGATTTACGATCTCTTGAAAATGTATCGTATTCATTCTCGTTTATTATGGACGGAAACGTTTTGCGAAAACTAATATAATAATATACAGCAACGAATACAAGAGAAAACAGCAGAGCTCCTCCGATAGAAACTCCTATTAGAATCATGTACATATGAGGTAACCAAGATTTTGAACTATTTTTTGATGTTGTCATGAACTTGGCGTGAGACAAATGTGATATGTCTGATTTTCGACTAAAATATAAACTTGATTTTTTATAATAAAAAAGTTATGAAAATAAAAAAAAATAGTAAAATAATGTACGCTGGTGATTTTTTGGCTTTATGTGCTTTATTCTCCAGACATAGACTTTCATAAAATTCAAAACAAAATTTCGTGCTAAATTATCTTAAAATTAATCTTCTTAAACGAGTTTCGTAAATAATTGGTCACCAATGTGCAATGTATCGCTCAGAAATTTGCGACACCGAGGCGTTATTATTTTTTTTCCCACATCTGTTTTGATGGATTATCAATTTACCTCTGATTAGTGATGTTAAGCAAGAGGTAAATTAAGTCGCCCAAATAATTTTGCACAGCATACTTGTTTTAGAATTTGTTTTATAAAACTTTTAGCTAAAAAAAGCTTTGCTTTTATATAAAAGTAAAAAGCTTTGCTTTTTTCAGTTAAAAGCCTCTTAAGACAATCTATGTTTATGTAAACAAAGAAGCTAAAAAAAAATTTTCCCTAATGCAGTATTTTAGACTTTAAAAAACTTTTCTAAATACTTAATTCTGAAAAATATCTAGAATGTTTTTTCCGAAATTTCAGTTTAGTAATGCGTAATGCGGTGGTGAAAATTTTTTGATGTTAGAAATATGGAAATTTAGAACCCTTTAATAATATTTAATTTTGTAACAACTAAAAATATTCAAAAGTTAGAAAGATATTATGGCCCTAATCAACTTAAGATTGTTAACTTCGATCTAAAAGTCATTAAATTTCATTAATTAAAATTCATTAATTTTAGCCAAAAATATTGAATATCATTAAAGTAAACATAAAATGTTTATTTTAACTGAAAAACTCAAAATAGATGCTCAAGAATTTAATACTCACTTTAATTCTTCTCTTGAAGAGTTTTTTTTATGTAAATAATCAGGAGCTTGAATAAGCGAGCCCGAAACAGCTGCCAAAAGCTGGTGAATTAATTTTGACTTTTTTTCATTTGAAAGCATGCTGTAATTAAGCAGTTGAGATGTCTAAAAAAAGTAAAGACGTTTTAAAAAAACTTTAATTAATCAGTAGGCATATCATTAATTTTGTTTATCAAACAATACTATAAACAAATCTTTGACTTTTTCTTGGAGGGTTATCTTTCTTAATAGGATTATTCAAAATTTTACAATAATTCGAAATTGAAAAATTTATAACTGTAACTTAGGTAAGATAATAAAAGTCAATAACGAAAAACAGCAAAAACTTTTGTGTTTTTTTTCGTTATTGATTTATATTATTCATGTTGTATGTTGCATTTATATTATACATGTTATATTATACGTGTTGTATGATGCAATACAAACAAATGTTTGTTTTCGTTTGTTCGTGATTTTAGTAATGTTCGTCAATATAAATAAATATTTTGTAAATATTTATTTTTTCTGAACATATTTTTATCAATTTTTTTTAATAAATTTTTATTTAAATCATTAACTAGTGGTAAAAAAAATCCAAAAAAGTTAACGGTTCATGCTGATGTTAAAAAGACAAGACAGTTAATGGCTGAGGAAACTTGAGGTAAACGCTCCAAATTGCACCCTAACTATATATGGAGCTAAGTTTCTGTCTTCAAAAACACAGCATAACGTAAAACATCTTGAAAAGTATGCACTTTTGAAGATGTGCTTAATTTACTTTTTATAAAAATTACCGGTGTACGTGTTATGCTCACAGTAACATGGATAAGTGTACTCTCGGTAAAAATGTATAAAAGCTAACCTCGTCATCATAAGTCAAAGTTTAGTCTAAAAAATAAAATCTAAAATGTTTGAATAGTTATTATAAAATTTACTTACAGCTTGAAAGTCAACACGGGGTATTTCTGATTTTTTATGATCCTTATATTTTCCTTTAGTAATTTTAAATTGTTCGCTTTTCTTTAATGCTTTTATTGAATAACTTTGGTTTGCAAGTGATAAGTTACTTTTTAAAGAAATGTTCTTTGCAATCAAGTTGGTAGAAGAAATCTCTTTTGAGAAACTGCTATTGACATTAGTTATCTCAGCTTTTTTAAAACTTGCTTCTATTGATTGATTATTTAGATTATTTGAAGTGTTGTTATGCTTAGTGACATTCACTTGGGAGAAAAACTCGTCAACGTTCGAGTTACTTTCGTTATGTTGAACTCCTAAATCAATATAAGATGTTAAACTTTTACGATTTTGTTTTTCCGTTTGTTTCATTGGTTTGTGTGTAATGATTTCAGGTGTAAAAAATCTTTTAACGCTAATTTTCAGGGGTAAAGCAGTATGGTTATTAGACTTCTTAAAAATGGGGCTTATATCTTTCTTTCTCGATAAAGCACTGTTTAGTCTTATATCATTTTGTATTATTTTGTTATATTTGTTTGTGTGTGAATCACTACTCAGTTGTATTAACGAAGTATGTTTATTTAATAAGGTTTGTATATGTGTGTTGTTTATATTACTTATTCCATGTAAGTCATTCATTTTCTGAAGTACTTCAACCATATTGTATTTGTGTGGAACTAAAAGTATAAAAATAATAATAAATAAACATAAAGTATAATAATTAGACATTAATTATAATAAGTAGGGTTAAATTATAATAAATATGATTAAATTATAAAAATGAAAATTAGCAAGTCTAAACCGTGTTAAACGAGTCATGGCGTATTTTAGGCAACATTTCAAAAAACGCAACTGACAATCAAACGGTAAAAAAAATAAAAAAATACCAGAAAAGTGCAAATTTTTTCTTTTATAAAAATAATTTAAAGTTTCATTAATTTTCTGTTTTTTCTTGAATTAAGAGACGGTTCAAAATTAGTTTTTTAAAATATCTTTTTATTCTGAAAACAGTAAAGAAAAAGATGTTTAATACTATTTTGTACAGAATAAAATTTCCATTCTAGTGATATATTTTGTTTTTCACGTATCAGTATAAATAAAAAAATATTCCAAGCTAATATTTTTAAATAAGTATATCTTCTAGTTAGTTGAATGATACATTACTAGTTTATTTGAAATATTTGTACCAGTAATAAAAAAGATGGTATATAAAATTTAATTTTATACGGCTGATTATGAAGACCATAGTCAGCTAAAAACAGCTTATGTGAAAATAAACGTAGATGTCTATTATTAGAAGGTATAGAATATTATCAATTACACTACAACTTAAAGCAAGAAAAAAACATGCATAAAAAAACATGCAATCATTGATAGTGACGGATCCAAAACTTTTCGAAGGGGAGGCGAAGAAGGGGGTATTTTTATATATACATTTGCGTCTACTATATAAAAAAAAAAAGCTCCTCTATTTCTAAGATATTTAAAGACTATCAGATTATGGTGATGGGGGAGGAGGGGATGCATAGCACGCATCCCTACCCTGGATCGACTGATCATTGATTAAAAACCTCTTTGGGTGTGGGGGAATTTTGTTGTTTTTTACTCGTTTGCATTCAACAGCTAGATTTTAACATGGATTTTTCCACCAAATAAAAATAGTATAAACTAAAATAAGTTAAAGATTAGGCAAACTTTAAACTCATAACGCAAACACCTCATAACGCTGCAACACCACCAACACCTGAAATAAAAATTACACCGGTGACTTTATCTACACTAAGAATTCAATATAGTCAATTTCAAGAAGCATTAAACCATGCAAAATCAAAAAAAACAGATGAAGCAAAAGCAAAACTAAATGCATGTTGAAAAAACAAAAAACAAACATAAAATTTTTTTAAAATTTTGGGGCATATGTGTGACTTTTGAAGCATTGAGAACATGCGATTGCAGTGCTCAAGGGTCGAGAAAAAATAAGTTTATTAAAAGTCACAACAAAGCAAATAAAGTTGCCGCTAAACAAAAATTATCGTTTAACCTTGGTGAGTTAAGGAGATAATTGTAATAATTATGATTAGCAAGCAAAACTTTTAAAAGTGATTATGCAGTGAAATGCAGAAGTTTTATAAAAAAATTTGTTAGCAAATAAAAATATTGTGTGTGTTCACTGCTTTATGAAGAAGTGCTAGCTATGAAAATTGCTTTTGTCATTTAAAAAAATATTTCATTGGCGATAAACATTTTATGCACTAAAATGTAAACTGTAATTTCAAGATTGTTTTTATGCTATTTCAAACAAAATAAAATTAAACGATCTCAACAAAAAAAAGTTATTGCATATATTAATATAATAATATAAATAATATAAAAAATTATTGCATTTATTATGAAAATTCGTTTAACACGATTTCACTTAACTATTTATTATAAAATACAAGGAAAACATTTGATTGATATTTTCTACAACTAAACAAATCATCTAAAAAATTTACGTTACATTTAAACTTAAGTTTTAATAAATTTTTGAACTAAGTTAATATTTAAAAAGATAATAAGGCAAGTTATACAACACAACAAACCGGTTAATATATAACGTAATATCATAAAAAGTTCGGTCATTTAAAGTTTGAACATTAATATTTCAAACATAAAAAAACATTTTTCCATTTTTTTTTTCCTGAAGTATACAAACAGTTATACTGTTAACTTTATTTGTAAAAATAAGATAATAAAATATAAAAACTAGATTGGGTATTTAAACTTTATTTAAAATAAAAAGTTATATAGTATTTTAAAATTTCACTTATTTTCAAACAAGAAGTATTAATGAATCGAAAATCAAAATACTTTTGTTCCTAATATAATTTAATCCTTATAATAACCTTTATTACTAATTTAAATTTTATCATGGCATTAAATACTTAGATTTTAATGTTTTCAATGTTTTATTTCAAAACTGTTGCTAAGAAATTATTTCAGCAGGTTACAAACAAACATCTTTTTCTATTGATTCATATACACAAAGTCAAAACAAATATTATTCAAGAAAATTTTTTTTACTAAATTCAATTCAACATGCTTTTTTACTATTTACTTTTAAAGCTTGCTTTCCAATGTTGTACAACAGTTGTGCGTTTTTGCTGTACTAGAATTGTAGTCAATTGATTTGATTCTGCAACCTTTGTTTTACAACTTGAATTTTGTTGTACAACCGACGTTAAGTTGTGCAACTTACGCAAAAAAATGTTTCCATTATAAAACATTATTGTTGTACAACTGTTGCACGACATTCCTACAAATATTGGAAACCAAGTTTTTAATTTGAAAAAAGTATAACAGGTTCTTCAAAAAAAATGAGATGCCGTCAAATATCTTGCTTAGCCAATAATTATGAGTTTAACTGCAAAATATTATACACTAGACTATAACTATTTCAGTAAATTATCCGAAATGAAGTTTTTATTATTATTATTTTTTGGCAAAAAAATAATAATTTAAAAACTTTTGCTATTTTGTTGAGCTAAATATTTTTTATAGTAACTCTAAAAAAATACTATTGTGTTTTTTGATGTTTTTTACAATTTTAACTTGCTCAAGATTTATACCCAATTTGATGACCAATTTTTGTTTTACACTAAAAAATAATAGTCGACTCTTGATATCTCGAATACTTGATATCTCGAACTTTTTTAGCGGTCCCATGGACATAACGTATTAGTTTAGGCTAAAATACTCTCGATATCTCGAACCTTAATATCTCGAACTTTTTGGTATCTCGAACAATATTTTCGGTCCACAGGGCAATTTTCTCTCGTTATCTCGAACTTTTCAACATTTTTTTTTTCAAAAATGTTTTAATAAAATTTAATTTTCTTTTAAATTCCAATTTTTGAAACAAAAAAAAATTTTAATTCGATTTTTTTTAAGAATCGAATTTCTGAAAAGTTTTCCTTTAATATATTAATTTATTCTTTTTGTCAAACACAACAACATGCCGCTCGTTAAACGAAAACTCACGAACAAATCTATAATAGAAAAATGCAAGGCATTAAAAAAACCTAGAGACAGGGATGTCTAACAAAGAGGTTGCCAAAAAGTATGGAGTCCCAAAGAACACATTATCAACCTGGATTAAAAATAAAACCAAGTTATTAACCTCACTGGAAAAAAATGGCACAAAATCTAAATGGAAGAAACTTCGTAGTGGTAATTTCAAAAAAGTAGACAAGGCCATATACACGTGGTTCGTTGCAAAAAGAAGTCAACAAGTACCAATTGATGGTACCATACTAAAAGAAAAGGCACTTAAATTTGCAGAAGCATTAGGAGAGTTGGATTTTAAAGCATCTGATTGTTGGTTTCATAATTGGAAAGAAAGGTCAGTTAAATTTTGTCAAATCTTGTTCAATTTTAATATAAACAAATAACATGTATCTGTTTATATTTAATTTATTTAGTTTTTTAAACGTGTAATTAAAATTCAATTATTCTGTTCCTATTTTTAGGAACGGCATCAGCTTTAAAATAATCTCAGGCGAAAGTGCCGCCGTGACAAATAATATGACTGCTTCGTGGAATGAAGCTACACTTCCAACATTGCTTTTGAATTACAAACTTGAAAACATTTTCAATGCCAATGAGTTTGGACTATATTACCAGTGCCTACCAAACAAAACATACCATTTATCACGAGAAAAATGTTTTGGGGAAAAAAATAGTAAAGTCAGACAACAGGTATTGCAGCAAGGAGTGCAACGGGAGAAAAATTACCTATGTTTGTTATTGGAAAATCTAAAAACCCACGGTGTTTTAAGCACATTAAACAACTTCCTTGCACATATAAAAATGAGCTAAAAAGTTGGATGACCGGAGACCTTTTTACAGAATGGGTAATGAAACTTGACTCATTTTTTCGTGCTCAAGACAGGAAAGTAGCACTGCTGGTGGATAACTGTTTTGCCCACCCACATCTGTCCTTCAGCCCATGGATCAATGCGTAATACGAAGTCTTAAAGCTCATTATCGTCACAAAATTGTGCGTTTGTATATCAAGGCTGTCGATAATAACGAACCCATGCCAAAAATTTCTATACTTCAAGCGATGAAAGATCTTGTTTCTTCGTGGAATGCTGTGTCGAAGGAGACTGTCATCAACTACTTTAAAAAAGCTGGTATCAGCAAAACAAACAAGAGTATTGAAGAAGCTGATGAAGATCATATTTTTAAATTTTTGACAGAAGAACTTAACCGTTTGCGAGAGTTAGATCCTCGTGCCGTCCAAGAAGATCTCTCAGTGGAATCTTACATTGGTTTAGATTGTGATGTAGTAACCACCGGTTCACTTGCTACTGATGCTAAAATCATTGCTCAGATTTTAGACCCTAATTTTGAAAACGACGATAATGAAGTTAAAGATAGCGTTGACGAAGCTATTGACGTCGAAGCCCCGCCACGCCCATCTGATATTCAATTAGAAATTGCTTTTAAAAAGATTCTAAATGCTTCGCTATACAGCTTAAAATACGGAAATAAAATACAATCCCTAGCACTAAAACTTAAGGATTTAATGAAGATGGAAAAGATGGATAATTTAAAGCAATATCAGATAACAGATTTTTTCCAAAAGTTGTAGTTTTTGTTGTTAATGATTTTTGTCAGAAAAATAACTTGTTTTAATGAAAGTCGGGCAATTTTATTTATTTTCAACCCTTTTCTTGATATCTCGAACTCTCGATATCTTGAACTTTTTTTCCGGTCCCCTTAGTGTTCGAGATATCGAGAGTCGACTGTAACACACTTTAAATAGGTTAAAACGAAACCCGTTTTAACAGTGTTTTGGTAAAACAGGTTTACGACCTATTTTTTATAAGAAAAATTGAGAAATTAGTTTATGTAATCATTGGAAACTCATTTGAAGCTTTTTTAACTAATAATAAACTTTAATTATACTAAACAACACAGAAGCGCTATTCAGATTTTCTAGGAAAGAAAATTATTATAAACTAGAAAATGCATTTAATCCCAGCTAACTTGCAATAGTTTATTGCTAAAAATGGCTATATAAAAAAACTCAACAAAAGCTAAAACTCCCCTTTAAAAAAAAAAATAATTTTATGTACTCTTTGCATTGTTATTTGAATAAATATAAATTTTAACTGAATGTAAAAGCTGTTATGTACTTTATGTGATGTTTTATACTTTATGCATAGTATTCTACACTAAACAAAATCTACAATCGATTTAAAACCTGTAATGTACTTAATAAACTCAGCAGCTTTTCAAAAATTTTGAAAACATTTATGTAACAATTATGAAAGAGTTATTCATAGAGTTTCAAACTGTACATGCCTATAGTTTAACAAAAGTACATGCATGGGGTGTAACAAAAGTACATGCATGGGGTGTAACAAAAGTACATGGCTGTACAGTATTAAGTAAAAAAAGTAGGAGTAACTTTTTTTTTTTTTTTTTTTGTAGCTACTTAGGTGCTCCCAGAAGTCCTTATGGTCTTATCACAGAGTACCGCAGGAGAGCATTTAACAGGAAGTTCATGCCTCCTTCTGTACCAATGTCTCTTGTTGGGCTGGAGCTGGCGTCGAACCTCAGACCTCTGGATTCTGACCCAGAACTCTAACCATTGCGCCACGGCTGCTCTTAACTTAAATCTCAAGAAATTTTAAACTTAATTAAATTTGATGATTAAAGCTAATTATAAAATATCTTTTGTTTTAGGTATTGTGAAACATGTCATAAAAATGTTGGAGAATTCTATATCAGAGAATTCTATACTTTGCAAAGGTGGTCCAGATAAAAATTAAATCCTGTCCAAGAATTGAAGTCACTTGTATCAATAAATAATTTAAGTCACTTGTATCAATAAAATGTGTATTTTCTGTTGAAAAGGAAAATAAGTTCGTAACTCAACATTTTATAGGTTAACTTAAGTCCTGCATGGAAATTCCTGTCAATTTGCTCTCAACTTAATTATTTCCATAAAACATTTTGTTCAAAAAATTAACAGGTTGATGCTAAAAATTAACAGGATGATGACTTCATGGGTTTTTGGCGCAGCACCCAGAATTGACTGTGAGAATACGAGAGCTTACTTTTTCAGCTAAAGTTGAAGATCTCTTTAAAATGGTTTAGATGATGCTAAAACTTTCACTAAAAATTTTATAAAAAACCATCATCCCCACTTAACTGTTTAAATCTTTTAAAAATATTTATAGTCTTCAAAGTAACTTTTTATCAGTTAACTTACAAGGTTTTTGTGAGACTCTTAGAATTTAAATGTTACTTCTTTAAATCTATAGTATTGATGGCTGTTGTCCTTTGATTTGCAAAAACTCCAATAGTTACATGCTTTGCTTGGGTGTATAATAACGTATCAATTTGGCTATTTGTCAAGAAATCAGTTTTAAATTCTCTGACCATTCTTTTATATGTTTCTTCTAAACACCACTTCAATCGATCACCTTTTTCTTTTTTTTATAGAAAAAATCTTCTTCTTCTCAGATCTGCATTTCTGTATAAAGATGCAATTTCTGATCAAATTGACCAAGCCCTTTCTCTTTATCCCTCAGCTAATATTGTTGTTATTAGCTCATCACACTGAATGGTCAAGCCTCATTCTACTCCATAATTTTCACTTTCTTGTGCAGCTGCATTGAATTTTAATCTTTTTTTTCATCTTTTTAAAAAGAACAAATCTCGAGAACAAACATTTTTGCAAGAAAGCAACGTAAAAAGGTGTTTGATGCTTTATTATTCTCAGTTTACTAAATCTTGATTTGGAAATCCGAAGTTAGATTCTAAAAATCTTTGGAGGTCCGAAGTTAGATTCTAAAAATCTTTGATAAATCTTCAACAGTGTCATTAACAAAGGTAAGGTAACCATTCCATACTATTCCTACCATTCCATACTATTCCTACCATTCCATACTATTCCTACCATTCCATACTATTCCTACCATTCCATACTATTCCTACCATTCCATACTATTCCTGCCATTCCATACTATTCCTACCATTCCATACTATTCCTACCATTCCATACTATTCCTACCATTCCATACTATTCCTGCCATTCCATACTATTCCTGCCATTCCATACTATTCCTACCATTCCATACTATTCCTACCATTCCATACTATTCCTGCCATTCCATACTATTCCTACCATTCCATACAATTCCTGCCATTCCATACTATTCCTACCATTCCATACCATTCCTACCATTCCATACCATTCCTACCATTCCATACTATTCCTACCATTCCATACTATTCCTACCATTCCATACTATTCCTACCATTCCATACTATTCCTACCATTCCATACTATTCCTACCATTCCATACTATTCCTACCATTCCATACTATTCCTACCATTCCATACTATTCCTACCATTCCATACTATTCCTACCATTCCATACTATTCCTACCATTCCATACTATTCCTACCATTCCATACTATTCCTACCATTCCATACTATTCCTGCCATTCCATACTATTCCTACCATTCCATACTATTCCTACCATTCCATACTATTCCTACCATTCCATACTATTCCTACCATTCCATACTATTCCTACCATTCCATACTATTCCTACCATTCCATACTATTCCTGCCATTCCATACTATTCCTACCATTCCATACTATTCCTACCATTCCATACTATTCCTACCATTCCATACTATTCCTGCCATTCCATACTATTCCTGCCATTCCATACTATTCCTACCATTCCATACTATTCCTACCATTCCATACTATTCCTGCCATTCCATACTATTCCTACCATTCCATACAATTCCTACCATTCCATACTATTCCTACCATTCCATACTATTCCTGCCATTCCATACTATTCCTGCCATTCCATACTATTCCTACCATTCCATACCATTCCTACCATTCCATACTATTCCTACCATTCCATACTATTCCTACCATTCCATACTATTCCTACCATTCCATACTATTCCTACCATTCCATACTATTCCTACCATTCCATACTATTCCTACCATTCCATACTATTCCTACTATTCCATTTTAACCGGTTAACCCCTTGTTAGACATCCAAAAAACATTTTTTACAGCTTGTGGTACAACATTTGTACAAAAGAATCTCTCCTTAACTCTTTTATTATCTCTAAACTATTTCAGAAGTGTTTGACTAAATCTTATTTTTCTGCCTGCCCAAAAGTGATTCCAATTTTTAAAACTTTGGAAAACACTCTGGCCCCTCCAACTATTGTGCAATCGGTTCAATCCAATCAGTCTTCTCTCTACTATTAGTAAGATCTTTGAGTTTTTAATCAACAAATTTTTCTTTTGAGTCTAATAACTTACTCATTGTAAGTCAGTATCACAACCAATGGATTTCAATCTTCTTTTTCTACAGTTGACTTGCTAACAACTGTAACTAAATGATTGGTGCATTAGATGAAGGCAACAAAGCAAGGGCTGTTGACATATTAAAAGCTTTCAATAAAGTTTTCGCATTGTGGTTTTCTCCATAAGCTCGCTTCATATGGTTTATCTGTGGAAATTTTATAGATTACCTTATATATTTATAATTATAAATATATAGATTTATAATTACAATATATAGAAATTTTATAGATTATCTTAGCTTGCTTGCTTCAGCATACTTGGGAAAATTTTTGAGATTATTAAATTATTTCTTTGTAACCGCAGAATTAAAATCATCTTATTTCTAATATTTCCAGGGTACCGCAAGATTCTATTCTTGATCTTGCATTCTTTCTTATCTACATTAATCATGCTCCTTACAATCTTACATCTCAAGTCACTCAATTTGCCTAATGACTCAACTTTATATTTCATTCATCTGGGGCTTGAATTGGCTTAAGAAATTTTATCTCCATATAAACTCAAAATTAATCACTAAAAACTCTCAAAGTTGTTGATATTCCTACATTGATGAATGGCAACCCTCTCATTGAATCCTTTATATTATGTCTTTTTGGATTACCATTCACTACTGACCTTATAGAAACCATATGTGCCATCCATTTCAAAGTTAATATCTGATAAGGTTGCTTCTTTTTATCATGCTCGCCATTTTCTTACTCCTGATTCCATTTCTTACATCTACAACCTCTTATTCGTACCTGTATAGAATGCTGTTGTCATATTTAGGCTGGTTCTTCTAATGATGCTCTCTTTTCTATACAAGTTCCAAAAACAAAAGTAAAAAACTTTTATCAATTCTTTTTCCTTGCACATCAATGCTCTCAGCGTAGTTGAGGAGAGAAAAGTTTGCATTTCTTAAAAACTAAAATTTGCGTTTTTAAAATTCAACTTTTTGTGTGTTTCGCTTATTTTCAACTATTACTATTATATATTTTTAAAAAGTAGAATTTAATCTTTTTTTATATAATTTATCATTTTTTTATAAATCTTTTTTCAATTTAAGTATAAAACAAAATAAAACTACCACTAAAATCCATAAAATGTGACGTGGTAGCGTCATGAAAACAGGTGAAACAAATGTATTAAGTGTTTACATACATTCCAAAAATATCTCTTTTATTTGAAAGTAAAATGCTACCTTGTTTAGAGCATCAAAATATTCAATAAATGGCTAAAAACCTCATATTTTATCTTTCCTTATACAGTAAAAATGTTAAAATCAAAGTTTTCACATTAGTTTTCTCTCATAGCAATTTACTTTCATAATCTCTTTATAGTCGTTCAAATAAATTACCAAAAGAAAAAGTTTCAGCTTTTATATAACTGCTGCCCCAAAGTATTTAGTTAAAATCTTAAACTCGTAGATTTGAAACTACATAATAATTGAAAACAAAATAAAACAATGAGCTTTGTAATTTTTTTTTTAAAATAAACCAATCAAAAGGCGCATAAAATAAAACAACATTATTTGAAAGCGAATGGGCCTAAACGCTATATTTTTCTTTGGATCTCTCCTTAACTACGCTGAGCTTCGGAACTCTTTACCATCATTTTCAATTTCAATATTTCTTGGGTATCTGTTTTCCTTGACTTCTGACAAAGTTTGTGACTATAAGTGACTAAGTTCCTGACTTCCTGACTAAGTTTTAAATAATTTTTAAGACTTATAAATGATAAAATTTAATTTAAATTAATAATAAATATTAATTTGTTGCAACACTTTGATAGCAGAAATAAAAAAATTGTAAAAAAAAGTCTACTCTTTTAGGCGTCTCTGAAATGTGAAAAAAGATTTAACTACTCCTAGCTAAAAACAACTTTATTTGGAGTGCAGGTGTACTAAAATTTAAACTTTTTAAAAGGTTCCTTCTTCTGAGGAAACATCCTGGGGAAACAAATCCTGGATTTCCTTTCAATTTTATTTTAGTAACATGACATGTTTGGATTAAAAAACTTAACCCTAGAAAAATATATTACTGACCACACTAATAATAATAAAATTTATAAATAGTTATAAATAAAAAAAACACTAAGTAAAAAAAAGAAGTCCTAAATAATAAAAAGTTTAAACTAAAACCTCTAGTGAAGTGCTTCTTGGCTTGGAATTAGAGGTGTGTTAACCGTGTAGTATAGTTATTTTTTATTATTTTTACAACTATTTGTCATTTTATCTTTCCATGATTTGACATGAGAACAACAATAGTGACACAAAAAAAAAATCTAGCAGACCTTTCATGGATGAAATTTAAACTTTAAGGTAAAAAAAGAAAACTCTATCTATGTTATAGATATAGATATATGAATATATAGATATAGATATAAGTCAAATAGATATAGATATATAGATATAGATTATAGATATAGATATATGTCAAAGAATCTTTTTTCCTATCTTTCATGGTATCTACTGATATAGGATGAAAAAATGGTTCTAGACCAATCATAATTATTTAAGTGATAATAATAATGAAAATCTTATTCTATGATAATAATTATAATGATGATGATGATGTTGTTGATGATGATGATGATGATGATGATGATGATGATGATGATGATGATGATGATGATGATGATGATGATGATGATGATGATAATAATCAAGCATGTGATTCCTATTCTAATGATAAAGCATTTAAAAGAATTCTTTTTAGAAGAACTGGAAATTTATTTATTTTAAAAAAAACAAATTAATCAAATAACTTTTATTGAAGTTTAAAAATGTTTATTAAAAATTTAATTTAAAAATGATCATCTGTCGTAAGTAAAACATACATTATACCTTGGTCTTTTTTACCGATAGGAAGCAAAGTCATTGGAGATTGGCAAGACTCTTTTCTTTCTTCAATTTCAAAGTCTTTTAAAAGCTCAGTTGTCAGTAATGAACTTTTTACACATTGGCCACGACGATTGCACTTCAAATTGTTGCAACTTTCTACCTAAATATTTTTTAACAAATTACAACAATAATAACAAAACAATAATTTTTATCATTATTATTGTTTCTATCATATAGTAGATATATATATATATATATATATATATATATATATATATATATATATATATATATATATATATATATATATATAAAGTATACTATGGTAGATATATAAATATATATATATATATATATATATATATATATATATATATATATATATATATATATATATATATATATATATATAAAGTATACTATGGTAGATATATAAATATATATATATATATATATATATATATATATATATATATATATATATATATATATATATATATATATATATATATATATATATATATATATATAAAGAGAGAGAGAGAGAGAGAGAAATGCATTTCTAATGAGTCTTTATTGATGAAACACCATTTTAGAAATGATTTGCTTAATTGATTTTGACACTTCTTTGTGAAAGGCCTAAAAAAAAAACTCATTAGGTTAAACCAGGAGCAGCTCATCATGCTCAACAGATGCCATCAATTTCGTATCCTGCAATGATGTTGGCTTTAAGTTCTCAAGCAGGATATGACCTAGATATGATCACAAAATTGAAAGCAATATGCAAATTTTATGTTAAAAATTGGTTATTCTTATCCATTAGAGTCAGCTTATGTTGGGATGCAGCAGGATATGATCTCAAAATGACTTGAAGAATTATTGTAAACATGATTCACGTGTTGCAAACGCAGCCATAAAAGCAATTGAAAAACATTTCTGGTGCTTAACAGAAGAATGTGCGATCTTCTCTCCATTTTTAAATGGACTTGCACCTTCAAGACTAATAATTACGCAAACATTGTAATAAGTTGGAAAAGCCAATGCAAATAAGTTTGAAGTGGGTTTTCCAATTTTTCTTATTTTTACCAGCAGTACAAAACTAACATCACTGTGCCTAAAAAAAACTTATTTCACAGTCTTAATGCTTACTGGCTGCAAAAATCTTTTACAGAGTGGCAAAAAGTTTCCAATTATAAAGAAGTTAAAATACCCTACTTACTATCTATACTTATACAACTATCATATTTACAAAACAAACAAAAAAATTATATATACATATTTTTTAATTAAAACTAAATTTTCAAGCCTCAAAGCTAAAAAGTGATTAATTTTCTTGAAAAATTGAAAATAACATTAAGAATAATAAATTTATAAACATGGTGAATTTTTTTTAAATGTTCAAAAGTAAATACTTGTCTTTGCTTATTTTGGATATAGGGACCAAGTTTTGTTGCAATATATGTGTCAATCTTATGGCAAACTTCAGGTGATGTATTTTCATCAAATCGATTACCCCATACAATTATTCCAGATGCTCCAATATCAGCAGCCAAACCAACTGTGTTATCTAAATCTGCCTATAAAAAAATTACATCCAATAGTAATAACAATAACATAATAATATGATAATAAAAACAACAATACTATAAATAATAATAGTTTAAAGTTAAAATAACAATAATAAAATATAGCAAAAAAGCTTAAAGTTTAAAATAACAATATTACTAAAAAAAAAATTATTTAATTACATTATAAAATGGTAAATATATATATTTTTAAAACTTTTTTTGATAATATAATGATAAATATATAATTTTAAAAAAACTTGAAAAATTTTTTAAATTGTTTACAATAGCAATGTTATTTAAAACAAAGTAATTTAACTACATTATATAACGATAAATTTTTTAAAACTTTAAATGATTCACTCTAAAATGGCTGCAAGCAACCACTAAGTTGGAAGTTAACAGTAAACAAAGTAGAGAACCAAGAAGCAAGAAAGAGATTGACAGAAGACTTAAAAAACTGTAAAGTGTATCTTTCAGTAACATTATTATGGAAGAGAATTCCAAAGCACAAATATTTGTGAAAAAAAACTTGATAAAAAAACTTTTTTGAGGATAAAGTAGCAGTTTCAATAAAAAGATACAACTTAGCTGAATGATAAGAAATGTAAGATTGAGTTTTTGCTGATGGAACAATGGATGATAGCTTGAGCAGCAAACATGGTAGTATTTGTAGAAAAGAGAAAGCAGTTCTTAAGATTTGGGTCAGCAATCAGTGATCCCAACCTAACTGCCAACCTAAAAGTGTTTGAATCATCATTCCCTAACCTCAGACACTTTGAAACATTACAAAATGCAGACAAATTTGCTGCTCAAGCAAGTTTTCATCTCTTGTTTAATCAAACAAAACTCAATCTTCCATGACTGATGATTCAGTAAAGTCACATCTTTTTACTGTAACTATTTTTTAATAGTCAAAAAGCTTTTATTTGTCTAGTTTTTTAAGGAATTTAGGAAACAATCCTTGTTAGAAATAAATTTGTTGAAAAAAAAAATTCTTATTAAAAAAAAAAACAGTTTGAATATGTTTCCAGGGTTTTATTAGGATTATTAGTTTTATTAGGAGTTTTTAATTTCCAACCCTGATATAAATATATTTATTATAGGTAATTAATTACCTTAGTCAGAAAATTGAAAGCCAAAGGATTGTTTTCATAAATATTTCTGTGGTACGCAAAAATTGGAATATTTCTGCTATTTTTTCCAACTCCCTTTGATGCAAATCTTAATGTTTCACGCAACCTTCCTAAAACATAATCTCTGTTATCCGGATGTTCATCAAGAAGATACATAGATGGAAACAATGCAGTACTTGATTGGAATAACCAATCCAAGCGATCATTAAATTTTTGAACCTTTAATAACAAAATATAAACTATGAATAACTTCAAACAACATTTTCTGTTTTCTTTACACTTATTTCACCAAGAATAAACAAATATATATTACCTCAGAAGAACATCGTGAATGAAAGGCATACCTCAGAAGAACATTGGTAGTGGTTTTCTTCATGAGCAAAGCAGTCTGGAAATCCATAAAAACCCCATAATGCTTTGGGTCGCAGTTGCTTGCCAAGATTTATGGTGTTTATAAAAAAGTTTTTAGCTGCTTCTTCAAAATCTTGTTTCGCTTTTTCAATAAGCCTTTTAAAATAAACATTTAAAGCTATAATATAGTCAAAACAAAATTGATGAAGAAAACAAAACAAATACACTTAAATTATTACTTATTTGCTAATGTATATATATTCAACTTATAGGATTGCTTCACAAAGAATGATAAAAAAAAACAATTACTGAAATTTTTTAGTCCCTGTGTAATAAAATAGATAATAAAAATTAATAATGGCAGGTAATATATTGATATTTAGGTGGTAACCTTCCTAACTTATTTGTACTACTGATATTTATAGTAGATGTGATAGAAGCAGCAATGGTTGATGTTTAAAAATGAAATATGTTAAGACAGCCATAAAAATAAATAAAAATGATTAAAATGTCAAAGATAAAAGTTCTTGTAAATAATTTCTGACTTGAATGAATTAAATAATTTCTTCTGAAAAGTTGTCTAAAAATTTCTTCTGAAAAATGTCTACAGAAGCTTGGTCTAAGGGTCTATTTCTAGAATCATTTGTTTACAAATTTCTGTCAATAATGAGCCTATTTTGCTTATAAAAATGAGCATTAATGCTAAACAAATTAATGAGCATTGTCTTCATAACTATATGGATAGAACTATATGTAGAAGAAACTGATACTTAATAATGTCTTAATAATGCCCTTATATATGTCAGCAATCATGGATTTGTTCTGTGTCATCTTGGTTGGATCACATTCTATGCAGCCCAATTTTTTTTTAAATTAATAATATCATTATGTATATCATTAATGTTAAAATAATGATTTTTTATTATCTGATACTTCTGATATTATCAATATCTTAAACATATTTGTAAATATATGTCATAGGATATAAGGTATATATTTACGATAAAAATTCTTTATAGCTTAAATTTGTGTTTAATATAAAATTGAAAATTTAAAAAAAACAGGTTTAAAATGCATTTTTAAAAATGAATAAGAATTTTGGTTACAAATGTGGAAACAGAAGTCTGGGCAGAGCATTGATATAACAAAAATATTGACATATTAAATTGATAATTGCTTGAGTATTGATCTAAGCTCATTAACTGATAACATTATAACTATGAAGACAACTTTAATGTTTCAGATAATGCTAAAATATTCTAAAGTCTTAAAATCTTTTTTTCATGATTATGTACCGTAAACTGAGTTAAATTCCCAAAAATTAACAACTATAACTTATTTGGTAGAGTAAAAACTCCAATAAAAAATAGACCAGATTTGTTAACAAGTCTGTAAGTTGGAAACTAGTAAAGATTGCACTTTTTTTATAAAGGTTTTCAATAAAGTACATAAATTTATTTTCAGAAAAAGGTTAATTGTGCATATTATAAGAGATGAGCGTTTAGTAAATTTGGGGATAAAGAATATTATCGGGTTTTCTTTTTTGGTTTTTGGTTGCTTTCAACAAAAAGTGGTAAGTTAATAAAAAAACTTAGAAATTTTCTTAAGATTAACTTAGGATGAAAATGCCAGATAATGATGGTAACACATGATTTGGGAAATGTTTTGCTAATAGGGTGTTGGAATATTCAGCGAAAATTGTGGCATGATTTTATTGCCACAATTTACTTTATTGGATTTAAAAGTTAACTTTTAATAAAAGATTGATTTGTTTACATTCTAGAACATTTTCAGATTTGATTTTGACACATTTTCAGATGGTGTCACCGCTTACCGGTGAGGATTAAAGAAAGTAAGGCACACCTGAATGCAGTTCTAACTAAGTAAACAAACCATAGTTCCGCTTCCGATTGTTTTTTCTATAACCATTTCATTGTCACATCTTTAAAAAAAATTTTGATAGAGCTTAAAAAAATGTTGTTGTTGTTGTTGTTATTGTTGTTGTTATTTTTTTAAAACATTTTTAAAAAGATTGTTACACTTTAAATCTTCTAGTTTCTTTATACAATATTTAGGTGCAAATTTCTATAATTAATTAGTCATTACCAGAAACTACAAAACAATCTAGTAGACTGCTAAAGTTTCTCTTTTTTTTTCTTTTCTAAGCTAGCAGATAATGCTGTTGATATAGGATTGAAGAAAAGAGTCTTTGACAACAAGATTTCAAGAAAATTACCATATTGGTATTCTCCAACTTATATGCAGCTTTATATTTAAGTGACCTGTACGGCAACCCCTGTTTAAGAACTAACTTAATAATATCTATAACAAGTTCAAAGACCATCTGTCTATCTTTTATTTTTTGTGAACTGTGTTGGTCAAGGTGATCAATAATGTGGTTTTTTGCCCAAAGCATATATGCTTTTGTAAATAACTTTTTTGCGAATATATATGTTCTTCCAGTTATTGAACCTTTTAGTGAAAGGTGACTTGTCATCTGTTTACCAAAACTTCAAATACAATTAATTTCATACTGACACTGATAATAAATTGCGTAAAAAATATTTTATAGAGCAAAGAGGTATTTGAGCGGGCTGCACCGTTTTTTAATGGTGCTTAGTTCCTGCAGACTTAAAAAAAACATTACTACTGTTAAAAACTCCAACAAAAGAAAAAAATTTCGAACACAAAATATCATTAGATTTAAGCATATTTCACTTAACAACAGAACAAACATAATTATAATTCTTTTTAATGTAATCAATAAATGTCTCCCTTAAAACCCTATATAAAAAAAAATATATATATATATATATATATATATACATATACATATATATATATATATATACATATACATATATATATATATATATATATATATATATATATATATATATATATATATATATATATACATATATATATATATATATATATATATATATATATATATATATATATATATATATATATATATATATATATATATATATATATATATAATGAAAAATGCATGTCAAGCAAAAGTTTTTTATATTTCTAAAAAGATATTTAACAAAGTACTACAAAATATATTTAACACTAGGGGGCTTTCGATGTTTCATCAGTTGTGCTAGTTTAAGTGCTGTTATGCAAAAAAATATATTTTTTATGTGAAAAAGTATAATTTTTAATTAATTAAGGTATTGTTGCTATTAGTTACCATTGCTAATGTCTTTTAAAACAAGAAGTGTTAGTTAAAAGTATCATGTTTTTGTTTATGCAAATGACTTTCATACGACAATAAATTTTGATCACTTTTAAGTTCTAGAAAAACAAAAAGTTGGAAAAACGGTTCCATTATTTTATTATTTATACGTTGGCAACCATACACATGGTTGTCAAATCTGTCAGTTGAATGGCCGGTTCTGCAACTTGGTATATGACTATTCATGCGATTTCTCAAATTGTTTGTTTTTTCAGTATATGTTGCTTGGCCATTACACGATAAACATTTTAAATAATAAATTACGTTCTTGCTGTTACAAGTAACATGACTTTTAATGGTCCAGATAGTACCATTGGATGTTTCAAATTTTTTTACCTCTAGCAGGTGAAATTGACAAATTTTGCAACAACTATCATTACATTTAAAAATTCCTATATTTTTATTGTTAGGTGGTACGGAATTAAAATTTAGCAGAAGTAAGTTGTCTCAGTAAATTAGGTGGTTGTAAGCTATTACAGGGTTAATATTAGAAAAGATTTGTTGTATTCTTTCACTAGAGGACTGAATAGAAGATTAGTTCTAGTTAGTGTAGGCTCGCAGTTTATATTACTGTAAAATGTAGTGACTAAAGGAAAGATTTCTTTAGCTTTCTTTTGTTGAGCTCGTCCTTGCAATTTTGCATTATGAAATGCTTTTTCAATAACATTGTCCGGGTAATTGCATTCTTTTAGCCATACTTTAAGCTCTGCTAAACATATTTTTTCTGTGGTATAATCAGATGTAAATACGATTATTCTTTTTGCTTATATACGATTTTGCTTAAATACGATTATTCTTTTTTGTATAATCAGATGTAAATACGATTGTTCTTTTTGGTATGTTAAGGATGATGACTATTAAATCTTAAATAATCATGAACATTAGTTTCTTTATAAAATATATCTGTTTTGATATATTTGTTATTTTGAAGAATGACAGAAATGTCTAAAAAATAAATTATATTATAAATATTTTCTTTTTCAATTAATTCAATGCCATATTCAATTGTAAAGGTAATTGACTTCTTTAATTCAGCGAGTGACAACTTAAATTTTTCAATATCTAGATGTTTAGGCCATATGTTAAAACCATCATCAACATATCTATAGTAAAATTGTTCAATACTTTTTGTATGATAAAATGAGGATTTGCAATTTTTTTTTTTTTAAAGTTCTTAACTTAAATGCCCACCGATGGTTTTAAAGTTTAGAATTCCCTTAGTTTAGGGTTTTTTCGAACGTTCAGCGGGAATAGTAAAGAAGGTCTAAATTTATCCATTCAACTGCAAGATGATTTGTGAGGACCTCATAAATCATCAATTAATTCTAACAAGGATTAACGCATATATAAACCTCATTTTCGGGATTTAAGTGTCCAGTAATCTATCAAATCTACCATTAATTAGTGGCTTGCATTGCAACAATGGCTTACATGCATGCCTAAAATCATGACCTCCCAACCAATAGAGAACAATTATCGAAGTCAAGACTTATGAACATGTTAATATTCACGCGGTCTGAGCCACTTGGGAATTGCATTTGTGATTTTATACAATACTTGCGCTTGTGAAGTTGTGTAATTTTTTTAAATAACTATTGATATTAAAGTGATAACTGTATAGCTATGAGAACTAGAAAAAGGGTCCTCAGGGATTGAAAGGCGGGAAGAAAGGGAGAGGTTTCCTAGTCCTCAGCCAAAAACACAGGTTAAAAGAATTAAAAATTTCTGCAAAAGAAAAAGATTTCTGGTTGAAAACACCCTGGAGAAGATGGAGAGGAACCAGCTTCATTTGAGAAAACACATCATCCAACATTATCTTTACCTCCGTGATCTGTATCCAAGGAAACCAATTAAAGATTTTACTTAAACACATCTGTTCCCTTTTTAATGTAGTTGGACAAAGATTGTTATTTTAACAAATTTTTTCTAGATTATCTTGCATTGAAGATGATGCTAACTGTGAGTTAGGATGTTTTCTTTCTGGAATCTTTGCTCCTTGGAGAAGAACAGGATTTGAAAATGAAAAACCAACTGCTTTTGTTAAGATTAAATTTGACACTGTTAACATTGACTTTGCATCAGATACAACAAACAGCGAACCTAGCTCTGATGACAAATATTTTGAAATACTACAGGAAAAGTTTACAGAACAAATTTGAATTATGCCTAAGAATATTTTTTCTAAAACTGCCAGAACTGCCATTGGCATGATAAAGTAAACTTAAACTTTTTTTTTGGTGAGATTTATACAAATCAATATGCCAACTTTTTTAAAGATTTAAAAACATATAGGTTATATTATTTTCAGACATTGAAGAAGAGAGGGGACTATTTTGAGTTAGCAGAGTTGGTCATAATGTATCTAGATCGGGGATGTGAGCCTGCTCTGTACAAATTTCACAAGCCTGGAACCATATCCCATGCTAGATTATGGGGAAAGCCCTCTATTACCTAAAGTTTTAGCTCCTTCTTTCCAAGATTCAACAGGTTATTGAAATCAATGATGATCTTATCAAAGAGATCAAGAAAATGGCAGACTTTATTGCCATCTTTTACACTTCCTGGTTCCTTACTTGTGAGTTTCCGGACTCTGCTTCAATCAAGGTAAAATAGAAAAAATATATTAAAAAAATAATTAATGGTGCGATTTCATTGTGCAGTATGCATTATTTATTTTACAAAAATAGTAATAGAAATAATAAAACTGTTTTTTAGATGGAGGACATGGCCAAGGTTCTGTTTGTCACAGATAGAAAGCCACTTGAAAGGCATAGAGTTAGGACTGAGATGCCTCCAATGCATGTTTACCTGAAGGAGAAGGAGAAACCTCCCTCATTAACTAATTTCATCAAGAAGGAGAGTTGGACTCTGTTTGACATTCTAGGCCTTACCATGGAGCAGTGTATTTGGGTGGAACTACCTTATCAGGGCCATGTCTTTCATATTTTTATAGCAACATCCTTTGAAAATATTTATGTATAAAAAACCGGTTATTAGGTAATAATAAAAACACTTTAAAAAAACACCAAATTTTGGACCTCACAGATTTTTATGTGTTCTGAAAGCCTGGAGATGTGCCTATGGGTGTTATTATTAATCCCAATATTATGTTTATATTTGGCAAAAATTTCTCCTGCATTTCTGATATATTAAAAGTTTCTGATAACATAGAAATGCCAAAACAGCAATGAATCAAAACTAAAAACTCAGAATGAATTTTATCATAATCACTTATTATAGATGTATCGCAACCTAGAAGAAATAATTTTATTATTTTTTTCAAAGTTATTTATATAAAGTATTTGGTACAAAACCTTTAACAAAATTAACAATGGTTATATAGTTAAATTACATTTTTTTCAAATGCTCAAGGAATGTATTAATCCTTTGGGCCTGGCATGACATAAATGGAATTAGGTGATTAAGAAGATCAGATCATTTTTGTTGTGTATCAATGACTTTGCCAGACATACTACTATATGTTTTTTACTACTATTTGTTTAGCCATACCTATATCTGATTATACATTACTTCAAACTGGATTTAAATGTATTTCAACCATCTGTTTTTACCACTCTTTTATTCAATTTCTGCACAATTTTACTTACTAAAGTGCCTATAGAATATTGTAAGGTAGTAACCAACATTCTATAATGGTTAGATTTGAACCATTTGCTATTATTGATAGCAAAGACTCAAGTCTAAAAATAATTTATAAAATATCATTTCTAAAAGGAATTCATTTTAAATAGCCGACAAAGTTAACACAACTCATTTTTTGCCAACTAGAATTTAGTGTTTGGGGAAGGAAAAAGGTGTTGCACCTCCCTATTTTCAGCCCTATATATGTGTATATATATATATATATATATATATATATATATATATATATATATATATATATATATATATATATATATATATATATATATATATATATATATATATATATATATATATATATATATATATATATATATATATATATATATATGTATATATAAAGTATATATATATATATATATACTTTATATATATATATGCTTTATATATATATATATATATATATATATATATATATATATATATATATATATATATATATATATATATATATATATATATATATATATATATATATATATATATATATATATACTTTATATATATATATACTTTATATATATATATATATATATATACTTTATATATATATATATATACTTTATATATATATATATATATATATATATATATATATATATATATATATATATATATATATATATATATATATATATATATATATATACTTTATATATATATATATATATATATATATATATATATATATATATATATATATACTTTATATATATATATATATACTTTATATATATATATATACATACTTTACATATATATATATACTTTATAAAAAGGTGACGGATGGCATCCCGCCTCACTTCGAACACTGTATATATATATACATGTGTTTGTGCGCTTCAGTTAGTACTGGATATGTGCGTTTTTTTGCATATCTAAGAACGCCTCACTTGTTAATTACACAATTAAACGCCCATCTTGAGCATTTCAATCCCAAATCAGTGCCAATTTGTCTCCTGGAGATTGTACAGTTACTAGCGGCATGCACAATTTGTCCCTGTTAGCGAGCTGTAAGTATAGATTTTTTACCACTTCGATGCTTTGTGCAACAACTTGTTGGATTTTTTACAAAATTATTGATCAAACAATTGCAATTGCCCTGTTTGAGAAAAGCAATGAACTGTAGGCTTTGATCAGGCCTTTTTCTTTATCGGTGAGTGTAATTTCTCTTGGCATTTGTTAGAATGTATCTTATAATTTTAAAATGTAATGAATCAGTCAATGTAGCAGCACTCTTCACATGTTCTACCTATTTGTCAGCCAATGAAGCAAAACTCCTTGCATGTTTACCTATTTGTCAGTAAATATAGCAGCACTCCTCACATGTTTACCTATTTTTAAGAAATAAAAATAGGTAAACATGTGACATGACTTTTTCACATGTTCCATCTATTTGTCAGTTGATGTGTTTTAGTTATTTTCTTAATAAAATTAATCAGTTGATTAATTTTATTAAGAAAATAAAAACATTCCAGTCTGTTAATTTGTGCTTTTTTTCCTTTTTAAAAAACAATAAATTTAATTAGTTTCCTTAATTAAAATTAATGGTTTTGACATAAAGTGTATTTAAGTTTGTTTTTTTTAAACACAAAGAGCTGTTAAGAGGTAAGTTTAGATGTCAAATCTAAACTTACCTCTTAACAAAAAACAACTTTTTTTAAAATAGTTTATAATAGGTACCCCTAAAAATATTTTTTATTCAAAAAAATTTTAAACCTAGTGTTTTTGTATTATAAAGAACACATTTAGTTAAGAGCAGCAGACTATTTTATATATATATATATATATATATATATATATATATATATATATATATATATATATATATATATATATATATATATATATATATATACATATATATATATATATATATATATATATATATATATATATATATATATATATATATATATATATATATATATATATATATATATATATATATATATATATATATGTGTGTGTGTGTGTGTGTGTATATATGTATATTAGCATTGATAAAGAAACATTTTAGCAATAACAAAGAAAATGCTTAAACCCAAAACAAAAGTTTATAAAATCTTTTAATTTTAAATTACTTGCTGAGTGTCCAATGTGGATGTTTGCTTCTCACTAATTCAACAGAACGTACTTTATAAATGCGTTTTGTTGCCCAATTAGTCTCCCAAACTGGTCTCCATGGTTCCCAATCTATAACAGCTAATCCATTAAAACTTTCATCGGGTATTCTGTTAATAATATCAAGTCGTGCTTTTCGAAGATGTTCATTCATATCTACTAACTATAAATTTTATGTTAACCATAAAAGTAAGTCATAATAGCATATGTTATATAAATAAATTGAAGTGTGTTTAAGCATGGGTAGTATTTATTATGACTAAATTTAATGTTTAAAAAAATGTAAGGTTGTGTAATATAAATTTTAATTACCTGAGGTAATCCTCCATTATAGTTTTTATCACCATTAAGCACATAATAAGGATACAAACCAAGTTGTGCAGAAGAAAATACAGTCACTCGGTTTCCGTTCCAAGTTTGATGCTCATTTTCATAGATTCCATATTTTCGCAATTGAATAGGTATGCTGAAGTTAAAATCGCATCTAAACATAATATTATAACAAAATAAAAAATAGAAATATAGTAGGAAGATATTTTTTTTACTATTTATATTTTCTTTACTCTAAAATAAAGAAATGAAATATGATTAAAAATAAAGAAATAAAGAACTGGTGACACCAAATTATTGAATAAACCTTTATATTGTTTATTATTTTATATTTTAAAATGCAAATCAAGATTTTATGGAATCTGCATAGTAATAATTGAAACTTGTCTATTGTAGTGTAATGAATTTAATAGTCTATAATTAATTCTAAGCCAAGGCTTTAATCTTCATATAATAATATGAAAACTAAAATACACAAATAGGTTAGCTTTAGTTTACATATAATTAAACTCAACAAGGATAATAATGATTATAAAAATCAGCGCATTCTACTAAATAAAAACAATATAGTTAAAAAAGTTCAAATAGTTTAAATATAATCATTTAAATATTTAGGAGGATTTTAGGATTCCTAAACAGTGAGGGACTGGTTTTTAATAGAAATTAGGATTTGTTGAAGAGAGAGTAGAAAAATTTTGATCTTCTAGGATGGAGAGGCTCAGGTGAAGAGATTGAATCAGGTTCATTGGATATATCTTTATACTATTATTTCCATTATTATCACTGATTATATCAGCCATTGGTGCAAGATGTTTTGAAGCAACAGTGGTCTCATGTCTCAAGACCTTAATGAGTTAACCATGTAGGAACAGAGTGTCCATTAGAAGTACATCGACTGAAACCGAATAACCGCTTGTGAGGTGTTGCGTTAGTAGAAGTACAAAGTAAGGAACACATTGAATAAAGGACATAGGGTAATACATGTTCCCAGCTCATGGTAGATAAATTCTTTGATTTGAAAGCAAGTGAAATTCCTTTCCAAATAATGCCATTGTATCTTTTATATTGGTCATTACCCTGAGGATTATAAGTAGTTCTACTCAGGTTGACCCCTCTAGAAATAAGAAAATTGTGGAGCTCTGTTGACATGAAGCAAGTGCCTCGATCAAAATGTTTATAAGCTGGCATACCAAATAAAGTGAAAAGTTGAGTTAAACATTTAACTATGGTTAAAATAGAGATATCACGACAAGGAAATACAAAGGGAAACCTTGAAAACTCATCAACAGCTGTTAAAAAATATTTGTTGCTAGATGAAGACAGAATAGGTCCTTTAAAATCCATGCTTAGTCGCTCAAAAGGTTGAGTAGATTTTATTAAATGTGGTTAAAATTGCTTGCATAGTATTTAGGTTTTAATTCAGCACAAGTTTGACATAAAAAAATGGTTCTTTTTACATCATCAATTGAAAAAGACTTGAAAAAATGGTACATTTTTTCAAGTCTTTTTTTTTTCAAGTGACAAAGAGATTCATGTAGTTCCTTAAGAGAAGGTCCATTTATAGTCATAGAGCAACAAGATTTAGAGAGTGCATCAGCAACAAAATGCCCAGGGCGATAAACTATATCATAGCTGTACATAGAAAGTTCTATCCTCGACCTCAGAATCTTGTCATTCTTAGTTTTTCCACTCTTGTTATTGTCAAACATGAAAGAGACAGAGCGCTGGTATAAAAGGGCGAAACGAATAAGAATAGGGCAAAATGCCGACCAACAAGGTAGTATTTCCATTTTTGAAGTAATTCAACAATAGCATAAGCTTTCTTTTCAACATAAGAATGTTTTTTTTTAGCAGTTTTCAGTAGTTTTCAGCTGATGGAGAGATTATTTCTTTCATTTCATTGAAACATTTAATAGCTTTAGTTGAAAGTGGAAAGGTAGAAGTTAGAGATAAGGGATCAATTTTGTCAGAAAAATGTTTGATATATTTGGAATAGTATGAGAACATACCAAGGATTTGTCAGAGAAAAGCACTATCAGTGGGAACAGGCATTTCAATTAATGGCTTTAAATGATCTGGATAAGGAGAAACCTAAAAAATTTATACAAGAAGTAGGCAATATAGATTTTCTTTATTGAACATAAACGTTGCTTTCTTAGAAGCTTCTAGAAAATTATCTAAACTGAAATCATGTTTATCTTTAAAAGTACCACATACAAGCAAGTTATCTAGATTTACAAAGGTGTCTCCTAATTTGTTTTCTTGAATAAACTTATCCATGATTCTTTAAAATAGTGCGACAGTATTAGTGAGCCCAAAAGGAATTCTTTTAAATTTGAAAAGATATCCATTGGACTCAAAGGCAGCATAATACTTGTCACTTTCTAGGAGAGGTATTTGGTGATAAGCACTTTTTGAATTAAATGTGCTAAATGTGGTAATGGATAAGCATCAAGTAGTGTAAAGCAATTTATTATTTGCGAGTAATCAATGACCATGCGTTTCTTATGTCTCTCATTCCTGGTAACAACTATATGTGATCGCCAAGGAGAGTTACTGGGTTCAATTATATCTAGTTCTAAACGTTGTTTTGTTTCTTGTTTAATGAATGCTTTGTCCTCTGAGTTATATCATTTAAAAGGTGAAGCAATCGGTCTACATTCTGGAGATAAAAAAGGGAAAAGAGTGCTTGCTTTCATTGCAACACTTGTTAGAGAACAGATTTTTAAATCTTTTTCGCCACCATAATTAATATAAAGACTTGTGGAACTGTAAGGATCTCTACCAAGTATGATTTGTTTACAAGAATTGGGTATAACCAAAAAGTCTGTATTAGAGTACTCCATACCAAATAAAGTGAAGTTAGTTAAAACTTTACCTATAACTTAAGAAGATGAGGAAGGATCAGCCATAGAGACTCTTTTATTAGAAGGGAGTATTTTAAGTTTTAAATAGTCACATAATGATTTGCTTATAAATGTGTCAGAACTTCCAGTGTCAAGAAGAGCACTTACCTTGGTCTTAGCAATAAAGATATAAACAATAGAATTGAGAGAGTTGATAAAAGAGCAAGTAATCGAGGTTAAACTTGGTGCATGGAAATTAGCAGAAGACATGACAAAGTTCTTTGATGATTTGCATACTTTTTTGAAATGTTCTTTTTTACCACAATTTTTACACTCTGCATTTCTGGCAGGACATGATTGTCTAGGGTGATGTTTACTTCCACAGAAATAACAAAGTCTACTAGGCTTAGTAGAAACCAAAGCAAGCTCAGTAGTACATTCAAAATGTTTATTAACTGTAGTAACATTGCTATATTCTGTATGTGAATACATTTTGTTATTTCTTTGAGCGGTTTCCAATGAACGAGCTTGATTATAGATCTCAATAAGTTTAACAGTAGAGTTTTCTAGTAGTCTTTGGCGAATATTATGAGAACTTATAAATGAATCGTGAATGTATTCTTCACAATGTTCTGAAGTAGAAATCTGTTTAAAATTGCAATCTTTACTAAGTGTATGTAAAGCCTGCCAAAAACTCATCAATAGATTCTCTAAATGATTGTTTATATGAAGCTAACTGATGTCTAGAAATTATTCACTTTTAGGTTTTACAAATAAGTTTTCCAGGATTTCTATAGTGCCCCCAAATGATTCAATGTCAGCAACACAGAAGGAGATATATAGTTAATGAGGACATCTAATTTATTTTCTGTTTGTATAGTTTTCATGAAGTTTGTAAAAGTTCTAAACCAGTGTGACCATTCTTTAGAAGCTGGTGCATAATTGGGATTACTGTCAAATCGTTTCAGTCTTAGATATTTATCCATTAAAATATGAAGAATAAATTGTAGTGTAGTGAATTTAATAGTCTATAATTAATTCTAAGCCAACATAAACGGTTTCAATCTTCATATTATAATATGTAAACTAAAATATACAAATTAGTTTGTTTAGTTTTAGTTTACAAATAATAAAACTCAACAAGGATAATAATGATAATAAGAACATCTATATTGATATCATTATTATCGGTTGACTTTAGACATTATTTTCATTCAAAACAAAATAAAGTGCCTTACATATTTAAGTACATTCAAGTTAAAAAATTTGCTTGTAAGTTTGTTGTATGGCAGGGTATTTACATGTTTAAAAGCTCTTTGTTAAAAACAAATCCAACTTTGACATCAGACCTATACATGGCTAAATATAAGGAAAAAACAACTTCTTCCTCTAATCAAAATTAATATATAGGACCAATTTTATTTTAGCCAGATCTAACATCAATCCACTTATTAAAAAAAGTAATTGATTGATATAAAAAAAAAGAGTCAATGTCTTTAAAAAGGATACTAAACTGTCTTAAACAGCAAGTTATCAAAATTTACTGGATAATAGAAAAGGCAACACTAAGTAAGTGGTTTAAAGATCAACGCTACAAAAAAATTGACACCAAGTCAAATTGTGGATTTTATGGGAGCTACTTCACAAAAAGTTAAATTAATTGCATATCATAAAGTTGATTGAATAATTTTTGAGAAAATGTAATTTAAAATCGCCAAAAACATTATCCAATCAATAATAGTGATACTAATATGAAATATTAAGACAATAAATTTTCTGTCTTTAGCAAGTGCATTCAATAAGGTGTTAATAAATTTACAAAAGTTTTTCAAACAGTATTAAGTAAACAAAAAAGTAAAAAAATTATTTAAAATTTTACTAACTGTAATGAAACAATAATGTTAATTAATATTAAACATTGTTTGGAAACTGGTACTTTAATTAACTGAAACTATTTATATTAAGTATAACTGAAACTATTTATATTAAGTAAATTATATAAGTTGTTTCATTGTTGTTTCATGGTAAAACTACTATATCAGTTTTTATTAAAAAATATATATATATATATATATATATATATATATATATATATATATATATATATATATATATATATATATATACATATATACAAGTCCTCAAATTTAATTTGGGCAATGCCCAAATAGGGTTGATGCAGTCAAAAATGGTCAAGAATAGCCCCTGATATATATATATATATATATATATATATATATATATATATATATATATATATATATATATATATATATATATAAGATTTAAACAATCCATAGGACAGTAG